GAACATCTTAAGACGCTTCTGTGTATACCAGTACGTACTTCAGTTAAAAATCCCAATAACTACGAACAGAGTAAGGAAAAATAAACTCACTTTGAATAATAAAGCTACCTACATAACGTGGTAATGAATCGAAGAAAGGGAGTTAGGAATGTCACACTATTATTATCGACCTTACTATTTCATTCATTTTAAAAGGAATTGTACTTATGATCTATTCTACATTATGGTTGGATAGCTGGGTTCAAGGGATTATTATTGACTCCTCACTTATCTGCGTACCACTCATGGTTCCGAAATAACTGTATGTTATATGAAGTTAATTACTGCGCATTATTCTGTGTTATTTGCATAAAAATGAGTTATTTCATTTTTTATGAATTATGAAGCATTGTAGACCCATCACTGGACTGTACACACGCACAGCTCAGACTGCAGAAATACAAGGACAGTGAGCAGTAGTCTTTATCTCCTAGCTTAGAAGAAAAATCTCTAGCCAAAGAGTTCAGTTGAGTTCACTCAAGCTGATGATATATAAGAGTGGAACGGTAGATATTCAGATAATGAGGTGTGCAGTAAATCAGAATCACTTGATCCTAAGTCATGTCATTTTACTTACCGCTAAAACACAGGTCTTTAATAAATAAATGCAGTAAAATGACTTCAAAAGCTACCTTAACGACTACTGAGGTAAACAGTCGCGTTTCTCTATTTTATAAGAAAATACTGTTCCCGGCGAAAAGAAAACCTAATTAGCTATTTTAATCGTCGCTGGGATGACCTTTAGAACCACTGTGTAATGAACAACAAACTGCATGAATAGTTTGTCGAATTAGGTGTTGAAATAAAAAGGAATTGTTTATGCTGAAGACAATAACAAATATACTACAGAAGAGGAATGGTCGATGAATCAAATACAATTTGAAAGTAAATCATGACACCACCCAATCTATGTAATTTGAAATTGAACGTAGTGTCAATGAAACTTCAGCTCTTATCTTCGGTTGAGTGCACACCGAAGCTGATAGCATGTCGAACTGAACAGCGAGCGTCATTAGCCGGAACAATGACACCTTTGGTTACAGATAAGTAGTGTTTCTCATATCTGAATTTTAGAAGCAGTAGTCATTATCCGCCTAGTCTAATCTGATCAATGTAGGAGGACTGTATGCTTCGCATTTCCAGTGTCCGGTAAATCAATGATTAGTTTCTAGGATCCTCCAGATGTAGGTGAAGTATTAATTCTCAAGGTAGGAAATATTCCTCAACGTTTGCCCCTTTCCATATCCCCCTGTGCTCTCTTTAGTTGAAAGCCATTGTAAGGATTTTTAAAGATGATAGCAAACATAAATGCTTGTTATTGCCTTCTCAATCAATAACCACGGTTGCTGTGTAAGGTTAAATAATCGAACACAAATACCCTACGAAAAAAACAGTGCACAAAAAGAGGCGAAAGGCGAGCAAGCTACGCACTTTTTATGTATATTCCGTTCAACAGATCAATAAATGTAATCACCTTCGAAAGTTTTGCTACGATGGACGTTTTCACTTAGCTTACACTAACTTCATAAGCTGCCTGATTTAATAGACACTAACATGAGGCCAACCAAAGTTACAAACTTTATTGCTACTGAATATGGTCGATGATATTAGACGACTGTTACTCTTTTTCCCCATATTTGCTTTAATCCTGACCATGCACTTGTTTTCGTCCGAAAAGACAGCTGTATAGATAAAGGCATGTAATCACCTTGGAGACTGACCACATTTATCGTAAAATTCTCATATTTAAACAGAATGGCATTCCAAATTCGAAGTACTATATGGAGCGCAAGCAACCCAAACCCAAAGTTAGTAAGATTTTCTGTAAAGACAGAAACCATTGGCGGATAGCAAAAGTGATAGATAAGTCGCATGCTTGCAAACTACGTAGCGATTATCAGTTACCCAAACTTAGTACAATCCACTTGAAAACAGAGGCAAGACCACTGTCAGAATTAACAGGACTGATGAATTATCAGAGCAGTTATCTAAAACGCCAAGACACTATACAGTGATCTACCTGACTTGAGGCTTTGTTGAAGTTATCCCCCACTAAACGTTGACCTGAGTGAGATACTAACATAGACTATTAAACTCTAACCAGAGTGACCAAGGCACTCCTAGCTTCATCAGTGCATCAGAGTTTCATGACACCGAAACGCTTGTCAAATAAACCCCATTGCATAGAGAAACAAAATCTGAAGACACGTATCCTCAGTTACAAATTTTCTCCACTATTTCTAGACAAGTGTTCAACAGGAGTGGGAATAAACTCATGAAGCTCCCAGAAAATGCCTCAAAATTTAAAGATGACAAACAGGGAAAGCATCAGCGCTTGTTCGACTAATTTTAAGTAGCATCACTAGGTTGGCTGCTTTCATCTGAAAGACTAGTCAATTAGTCTATATCTCTCCACAGGCATCAGACAATATTTTAGAAAAATCGAGGACTAGAAACACGTCTGGCCTGGTCATGCCATAGATGTTTGCCGCCTCTGAAAGAAGCATAAATCACCTAAGTGTGGTTACTGAATTGACTTCACCTGACCACCGTGGTGAATCTTCAAAATCCAGCCCCAGAGAATGCTGAGACCCGACGATTAGCCCCCGTGTACACGTTCCCGAAGGTAGAGCGCTGAATTGATGAGGAGGAAGAGCATTTTTTGACTGCCATTTGCCAGAAGGTTAATTTAACCTGGCAGTGACCACAGAAGGGAGAAACAGCTACACAAATAAGAGTGGAGCAACAGTTTTTCCAATAGCAGAAACCAATGGCGGGCAGTTAAAAACATATTACACACACATATATATTACACACATATTACATATTACACCTTGAACACTTTGAATTATAATTCAACTGGCTTGCAGCTACGCTTCATCTGCCTAACAGAAAGCCTGCAAAGGCCTTCCAACTCTCCCCGAAGGCAAGAAAACTGTTTCAAACCTGAAACAATGCAAAGCAGCAGCACACATAGGTTTATCACTAGAAGGTTTCAAGGATTGAGGTAGGAAATTGTTGATTAGAGTGACGGAGATACTAGGTAGTGTATGAGAATTGTAGGTAGTGCCGTCAGATTAGCCTACTTCATTGATCATCTCATTCTGTAGGAAAGGAGAGAAGTCTTGTGAAAACCATAAAGCAATCAGTTTGACTAATATCGTGTCCAATATCCTGGGGTCCACAGTTACATGATGCATAAGTGGAGCTAGAGAAAACCAGACAGGTTTGAGACCTGGACTAGGGTGTATCGATCAAATTTTCACCCTCCGACTGGTTATGGAACACAGGCATGCTCACCGGTGGCCGACACTTGCCGTATTTCTCCATCTGGAGGTGGCATTTGACTCTGTCGACTGTGAGGTATTGTGGCAGTGTCTGATTGTGAAGGGAGTACCGAGCAAGTACATAATGCTTATCAATGCTCTCTACTCGAACTCAAGTAGTTGTGTTAGGTGTTACGGAGAGTTATCATCAGAACTGATGACAACTACTTGTGTCTGACAGGGGTCCCCACTGTTACTGTTTCTATTTAACTTCGTCATAGACATCATAACGGTCACAACCTAAGATACATCTGACTTCATAGGGATTGATCTACTCCCCGGAGGGCATCTACTTGACTTGGAGTACGCAGATGACATCGTCCTGACAGATGAATACACTGACAAAATGCAGGGTCCTGTGGACGGGTTGGGGAGAAGTCCGAGTATATTTGGCTGGTATGCGTTTCGCACCTGTCAAATGTAAAATGATGCTTCAGAAGTGGTCTACAGTTGCTCTCAGTCTGAGGATATGGAGTGAAGTGGTTGAATGTGTCGACCACTTCAGTTGCTTGAGAAGTTGCATTAAAGTGAACGCGCTGGTTGCTGACGAATTCTCAGCTCGGATAGAGAAGGCTCATTTGGTCACTTGCCAACTTGCATCATCTGTGGTGCCGACTAGCCAGATATCCGACTGCCTACCAATGGACGAGTATACTGCGCTGCAGTCCGTTCTATCCTCTTATACGACTGTGAGACAGTCACTGAAAGAGAATAATGAAGCGATCACAAGTTTTTGGACACATGTATCTTCGTAGCATCGCTGGTATGGTGGGATCACCATATAAGCAGTTTCGAGGTTAAACGAAGGCTACTAGGCAAGGCAGGTAGGTGAGTCGATGAAATTGAGAACCTTACTCAATTGAAGTGGCTTGGACATGTACTGCGCATGCCGAGCCACAGCCTGCCTCGACCTGAAATGGTGTGGAAAGTTGGATTAGGTTGGAAGAGGGTTCAGGGTAACAAGTGGAAGATGTGGCGTCAGTGCATGAAGTCTCTGACTGTTGGTGTGAGCTGTGTAGGGAGGTGCAGACTACCTGACTGGGGTTCCGAAGACGATAGGAATCAGTGGTTGAGGACTCTTGGTGACGTAGATAAAAGCAGGTCAAAATGGCGCAGATGTATTCACTCTTTGGCATCTACAGCTTGAATGTTTTAACTAACCCTAATGTTCAAATTCCTTCTTCTCCCACACATCGTCTATTTTGATACCAGTCTTTCCTATCCACTTGTTCTTTGTGTACTCCTTTGAAGTGTGACAACTAGAGGCGATGCACTTGTTTGTGGGGTTCCAGGTTCATTATATCTGTTGGTGACTTGCTTCGAGAAGAAGTTACTCTGAACATACTTATGTTTATCTATTTTGCCGTCGAATTCAAAAACTATGCAACTCAGAGATATCAGTAGTCCATCCATCAGTTCTAGCCTTGACTTCAGTGCCGAAAGTAGTTTTCTAAATGACAAAACACTTGGAGAGTCATGTCTGTCAGTATGTCATTCGATGATTCTAACACAGCATAAACGACTTCAAAAAGGTTGCAGAAGATAGCAATGTAATACAATTACCCTGAAATCTAAGACAACTATACTAGCCCCCATTCTGATTTGCAACGAGAAGTGAAAAACTTTCGGAAAAAATCCAGAGTAAATTATAGTTTATTAAGAAAACTATGAATAACATCGGAGGAACAACATACCGTTTTATTCATAACTAAGTAGAACAGTGAATAATCAAAATAGAAATTAAAAAGGCATGAAATTGAAAACAATTTTTCAAAAGATATCAATGTGTATAAAAATGATATGAATAAATATGTCTGGTCATTTATTACAAAAAAACAATTTAAGTATCTAATTTCATATTTTCTAAGGCACTAATAATACCCCGAATAGTTAGGATTCCAATTTATCTTCAAACAAGTAGTTTCTAGATTTATTTACGCTGAAACGAAAAAGTATACAAAGATAAACTTTGCTTTCAACTTGAGGTTTAAAATTACTATGCTGAAGGTAATTTTGCAGCTTGATACCAAAAGGTCACCATGAAAACAATAATGTTACTCAACTCGATACAGCTGTACGTATTAGGCTATAAGCTACACTTATTATATGAGGGTTTACAAGATACTATCTGGTCGCTTAGGTTAAAGCAATTAGATTGGGACTTGAACTCGAATCTTTAATTAGGTCAATGAGCCGAATCTCCATAGTACAATAATTGATTACACCATAAATATCAGTTTAACTTGAATAAAGAAATACCAGAATAACATTGTGGTTTAACTAATACTCTTTGCTGTTACAATCCCAATATATACATTCCAGTGACCTTTGAATTAGCTTTACTTATGTATTTGGTCACTATATGAATATTTATTAACACATTTGGTTTAAAGATCAAAATTTTTATTTAAACTTCACAACACTAAGTTTAACTACTCTAGACAAAACAGACATATTACACATACAGTAGTTATTTTCATGTATAATTTGTTCTGCTCAGTCATAAGATAAGCAATTGAAACATAGGGGTTGCCTAACATTTCGGATAAATATACATCTACAACGCGTTTATTTTTGGGATGAATAACAAACTGAAGCTTTTAAATAGTGTCAGGGTAAATGATCATATTGTCAAAATATGATTGCACCTACATTTTGCTCAAGTTTGGAAATAATATGAACATTCGAATAAATACCCTTTTAGTCGGGTCAAACTACACACTCGTACTCCCTATAGATAAGCTTAAACAAATAATAAACACTTACTACAAATGATTTGAGTTAAAAACTAGACAGTAAAGTAGTCCTAGATGATAAGCTCTTAAGTAAGGATGTAAAGATAAGATATAACATACTTAGTGTTAGCTGATCATGAATAAACCATTTCGCATAAATTATTCTTCGCTATTGAAATTACTGAATTCAAATGGTCTACCTAAGTTGGGGGTATAATGCATTCCATCATTCGAGGAATTCTCATCTCTACTCAGTTCTTGAACAGCGTTGTAAGCTGCATCAGATAACTGTTAGATCACCTCAAAACCCTGTATATCTTCTTTATTTAAATATCTCACTGTCACATCATAATTGAAATAAATTGGCTAATTTAACTCACGAAATATGGCAGTTAGTCAATATATGTAACCACTTTAGCTTGTGTGAAAGACCAGGTCTAGTGTTACCTTGTTTGACAGACATGGAACACAACCCAAGATCCAGCTTTTCGGTGAGAACGGCTAGTGTCTAGCCGGTCTCATCGAAAAGCATCTCTAACATTTCTAATATCAGGTAGTATTCCTCTCAATCTCGCTGCCGTCGTTTTTCCAGAACCACTGAGGCGCAGAAATGCATGTGCTCGAACCAAAGTGAGATCGCTGTCCAGAAGGATTGACAATTTCCCACCGATCATCGGCAGCGACAAGTGGTAGCGATATGATCTGTCTTTGTCCACCGCTGAGTTGAGCTAGGCGGATTGCATGTTAAAGAATCTCTCTATGTCTGAAGGTTTTGTTGGATAGAAACAAAAGGTTTTAATGCCCTCTCTATCATTCAGTAGATAAGGGTGAAGGCGATTGCTGAACGGGAGCCAGTTGTGTGACCACACAAAGCTATACCTTCACCTGAAAGACGACCAGAAATAGCCATCAAGTCTCCAGAAATCCTCAAGGTGAATTATAGTTTCACTACATTAGGCCGGTAAGGTCAAGTCAATAACACTTGATTACTTAGTGTGTCTCACGAACAATTCACGTCCAAAGCTCGAGATCTCAGGGGAGAGATTGATAACCGAATTTTCGCTTGTCGAATCAACAAATACATACAGTACATGATTCTGTACGTGTCCCAGATATGTAGGAAATACTACTACGCTTATCACAAAGGAGAGAAAATTAGAACTATGTAGGGTTTTGAAGTTACCTGATGTGACTATGGACAGTAAATTACGTTTAAAACGTAATCCAGTAAATTACACTTTTTACCTGCGACAATTCTGATAAACAGACAAAAACGGAATTACAACCCACCACAGTGCCCAAGTTTTAATCCTATATTAATGTTTTGTACGATGTTAAGTCTTTCTAACAAACATATCGGATCTTCATACCTGTTACATATCACAATTAATCCATTAACATCGCTTATCAAGAGTAACTTTACTAACCAGTTCACCAGCCAATCCTTCAATATATGACATGTATTATCAGCTAGCAGTGGTCCTAGGCGACTTCCCATGGCCACGCCATCTATTTGTTGAAAAATTTTCCGTTAAAACGTGAAACGAATTTAATCAGTGTGCAACAATAGCAGCACTTTTAAACACGCTGAAGGGATAGGGAAAGGAAAATTACCGGAAGACATAGTCACAAAGAATCGCAATGGTTTTAGTTAAAGGCACGTTGGTAAATAAGTTGACATCGAAGGAACAAAAACTCTTGTCTCTGATATTAATATCACTAAGATAATCATGAAGATTAAATGTATCTTTCAAAGATAAGTTACATGATTCATTTTAAGTAGGAATTAAAGTTCTCGCTAACCATTTCGCCAATGTATGTGTAGGTGAACGACAAATAGACAGTACAGGACATCAATGATTGCTATTTTTATGAATTTTAGGCAATCCGTGTAGATTAATAAACTCGAACTCCATAGGTTTGAGGGATCCATTCTTACTGACAACATACATTTAAGTTTTACTAGATCAGATGTTACTCTACATTAGCCACAAATTTACTTTCGTCATCAAGGATGGAAATCATCATCTATTCCCAAACATATTACTGATATACTGATATTAAAACAGCCTTCATAGTTTTGTACAGAAACTGTTAGAGGTGTTTACTGAGGTCCATTGAGGCGCAGAACATACACAAATTTAAGCTCCCCCCCCCCTCCCTTCTGTGTTCGGAAACAGTTTGTCCTTATGTGAAACCTACCCTGGTAATGCTTTTCTTATCATATTACCAAGATGGTCTCCAAATCATATCATTCTCCAATCATTACCTTTCTTGTTACTAAATTGATTTGTCATATTTGTCCTTCCTACACTTCAAGTCTTCATATAAAATGCCCTAGAAAGTTAATGTGTGATCAGAATGTTCGAAATGTATGACGCAAATGCCTTTCATTTCTCACATAAACTACGTCACTCATCATCCCAGTCTTCAAGAAAGGCGAGAAGTCCTCTTGTGATAACCACAGAGGAATCAGCCTGACGAACATAGTATCCAAAATCCTAAGTTCTATAATTCTCCGACGCCTGAGTGGAGCTCGGGAACAGCAAGCCCGAGAAAACCAGGCAGGCTTTAGACCTGGCCGTGGATGTATCGACCAAATATTCACACTGCGCCAGGTCCTGGAACATAGGCATGCTTACAGACGCCCGACAATAGCTGTATTTCTCGACCTGAAGGCGGCATTTGACTCCGTTGATCGAGAAGTCTTATGGCAGTGTCTGTCACTGAAAGGCGTGCCTAGTAAGTACATCACCTTATTGAAAGCTCTCTACTCGAACACTTGTGGGCATGTTAGAGCCTATGGTGAGTTGTCCAGGGAGCTATACTCATCAAGTGGTGTCCGTCAAGGATGCCCACTATCCCCATTCTTATTTAATTTTATCATAGATATTCTTATGGAGGTTTCCCTCTCGTCACCTAATTACAAAGACGTTGAAATCACAGGTGAATTTTCCTTAGATCTAGAATATGCAGATGACATAGTCCTGTTAGGTGAAGACGCTGACAAGATGCAGAGTCTTCTGAACACTTTGAGTGGGAATTTGAGAATGTTTGGGATGCGATTTTCACCACCCAAATGCAAATTTTTGCTCCAGGACTGGTCTTCAGCGGTACCGCGGTTAACAATAGAGAGTGAAGTGGTTGAGTGTGTTGACCACTTCACTTACCTGGGAAGTAGGATCAACCCGGTGGGTTAGTTGCCGATGAGATTTCTGCACGGATACAAAAGGCTCGATTGGCTTTTGCCAATTTGCGCCACCTATGGCGCCGCCGTGATATTCGTTTGTCTATTAAGGGTCGCGTGTACTGCACAGCAGTCCGCTCTGTTCTACTGTATGGCTGTGAAACATGGCCATTGAAAGTGGAAGACATGAAAAGGCTTCAGGTGTTTGACCACCGTTGCCTTCGTAGTATAGGACGTATTCCGTGGTGTCACCATGTGAGTAATGCAGAAGTTAGGTGTAGAGTTTTAGGGAGAAGAGGTAAGTCAGTCGACGAGGTTGTGAACCTTCATCGACTGAGATGGTTGGGACACGTACTACGTATGCCTAGTCACCGATTGCCTCGTCACACAATGTTGGCTGAGGTGGGTTCAGGCTGGAAAAAGGCCCGAGGTGGCCAGACTAAAACATGGCACCAATGTATGAAGTCTCTGACTGTTGGTTTAAGCCATGTAGGACGATGCAGACTAGGTGGTTGGGGTCCACGGGACAAGAGGAACCAGTGGTTGGAGACCCTAGGTGATATGGCTCAGAACCGAAGTCAGTGGCGCAGATGTATACACACATTATCCTCATCTTAACAACGCTATACCGAATCTCACTATTTTGTCACTCCTCTTTCCTTTCTTCTCATACTTTATATTTCTTTTGACTGCATTCACTTATCTTCATCCTTCACCTCACTACCTTTTACTTGATGAACTGACGTGAGGTGTGGCAACTCGGACCGTTACGCAGTAATGCCTGGTCCTATGTTGGTAATGATGATGATGATGATGACGTCTTAATCACCCTATCCATTTTAATATCTAATTAGATTCAACTAATGGGCTTAATATGCAAATCTTTTACAGTCAAGCTGAAAATTCTTGAACGTGTAGCTGAGAACTGAGACTCTAAGTTCATCCATCCATCCATATCAAGATAGGACCAGGCATTACAGCGTAAAGGTCCGAGTTGCCACAGCACATATCACTACATCGAGTAAAAAGACAGTGAAGTGGAAGATGCAGGAAAAACTCGGCCAAAACAAATATAAGGTACTAAAAGACAAGAAGGAAGAATGAGAAAATGGTGAGATTCGGTAAAGCTTTAAGATGAAGATAATGTGTGTATACATCTGCGACATTGACATCGGTTCTGAGCAATATCACCTAGTCTCCAACCACTGGTTTCCCTTGTCCCGCGGACCCCAACCACCAAGTCTGCATTGCCCCACATGGCTCAAACCAACAATCAAAGACTTCATACACTGATGCCATGTTTTAGTCTGGCCACCTCGAGCCTTTCTTCAACCTGAGCCTACTTCGGCCAACATTGTGTGACGAGGCAGACGGCGACTAGGCACAATTAACAAGTGTCTTAACCATCTCAGTCAATGAAGATTCACAACCATGTCAACTGATTTACATCTTCTCTCTAAAACTCTTCACCTGACTTCTGCGTTACTGATGACACCACGGAATACGGCCTATACTACGAAGGCAACGGTTGTCGAGCACCTGAAGCCTTCTCACGTCTTCCATCTTCAATGGCTACATTTCACAGTCATACAGTAAAATAAAGCAGACTGCTGTGCAGTACACACGACCCTCAATAGACAATCGAATAATACGGCGGCACTACAGGTGGCGTGAGTTGACAAAAGCTAACCAAGCCTTTTGTATTCGTGCAGAGATTTCACCAGCCACCTAGCCACTAGGGTTGGTCCCACTTCCCAGGTAAGTGAAGTGGTCGACACACTCAACCACTACACTCTCTATTGTTAGCCGTGGCACTGTTGAGGACCAATCCTGGAGCAACAATTTGCATTTGGGTGGTGGGAAACGTACTCCAGAATTCTCAAATTGCCAGTGTTCAGAAAACTCTGCATCTTGTCAGCGTCTTCACTTAACAGGACTACGTCATCTGTATGTTCTAGGTCTAGTGAAAATTCTCCGCGATTAGACCAACCTCTGTGTAGTCAGGTGACGAGGGAGACCTCCATAAGAATATCAATGATAAAACTGAATAAGAATGGAGACAGTGGGCAGCCTTGACGGACACCACTCGATGATGATGGCTCCTTGGACATTTCACCTTAGGATTTAACACACAAGTGTTCGAGTAGAGAGCCTTCAATAAGGTGATCTACTTACTCGGCACGCCTTTCAGTGAGAGATTATAGGTATTTTCTTAAAAGTGGGAATATTCATTCGGCCTGTTTTTGGGTGGCAATGAAAACCTTTCTAGTTGTTTTTTAACTGTGGCAACAGCATCGAACATATTTCTCACGGAAGATGACCCACACTTTAGACAATAAACTGGATGAACCAATTTGTATATACAATTGTATGTACAATTGTGAGATGTAGTTTGGAATAGACAGTAACCTCAACTCTTTCTTTTAAATTCAGGGGAAATTTCCTAACTTAACATGTCACGTTAAGAAAGTCAGTTTCACCAGGAAATTTAGAAGTACTACAGTCAATGCAAGAGTAAAAATTACACAGTAACTAAACAAACAATAGTAAATTACCGTCCACTGCTGTTGAATAATGCGTACTGTTTCTGATCTCAATGATGGACCGAAAAATGGATGGGTCTGTGCCAAGTAAAAACCAACCCAACTAGAGTTTCATAGGAATCACAGGTGGAAACTTACAACAAATAACAGCAGGCAGCGGTCAGCACTACTGACACGGACAAAAGCCTGAAAACCACATAAGGTACAATGATTCACATTACATTTTGTTGGGTCCCTTCGGTACAAAAATAGGCCCTAGTATGGCAACAAGGAACCAAAATGCAGTCACCACACCAAAAGGTACATAAAATCCAGTATTTATGTTCATTGAAGATCCACTATTTAAAACTTGTTCTAGAGAAGCAAGCAACGTATAACTGCACAGATAACAAACTTAGAACTGTAGTAGAGCCGTAAACAGAAAACTGGAGGAAGCCTTAAAAGGCTGGAACGAAGTTGGTACGAAAGTAACGCTACTTTACGTAATTGGCGCAATTCTATCAAGAAGTTCTAACAACATCCAACATCAATAGTGCGAGTAGAGGAAACTTGCAGATTTGAGCTCTCACTCCCAGGTTTTGAAGCTTGGCTTTTCTTGTTCGGTCCTTTGAGGGTCGCAGAAGTCTTTGCGTTTCCCTGCTTCCAGTTTTGGAGGCTATGCTTCTCTATTTGGTGTTTTATTTGCAAATTGTAGCTTTATTTGTTTAGGGGGGGCAACGTAGCTGCTGGTAAGATCAATCAATAGTTTGCAATTCTAGTTGTTGTAGGCGCCTGCAAGCAAGTGTTAAGCGTTGCTTAAATAGCGATAGAAACGGGGTGAGTGGGGAATGAGAAAAGAAGTGAAAAGTACTTTTGAAAGGATAAATGTAACTGGTAATAATATAGAGGAGAGATGCGTCTTACTGCAGATACCAGGATTGGATAATACAAGAGGAATACAGGGACGGGAGGGCGTATCATCGGTTGCTACTAACAAATGTTCGTGGTAAGCCTTTTGCGCTCACATACTCATCCAGTAGTCGTTTGAAGGAGCTGACTGATGTAGCTGTGGCCACTTCCTTCGGCAGCACGTTCCACAAGGCACATGTTCTATAGGAGATGTTAGATAACACCCTGGTTTTTGCCCTACGGTGGGGTATGCGAGTGGGGTCCCCACGGGATTGTCGGTTTAAGACCAGTAATATTGTCCTATTTGTGTGGTCCACTTGGTGAATGATCTTGTAGGCCGTTATCAGATCACCTCGTTTCCCCGATAGCTCAGTGCGAATAGGCTGAGTTGTTTGTGGCGTCGCGCGTATGTTTTGCCTGTTAGTTCGACAACGAACTTTGTTGCCCTTCTTTGTACCTTCTTGAGAGGATTTGCGTCTCTCTTTAGTAGTCGAGGGGCTATCGTGTTGAACACCTATAGGTGTGGTCTGACGTAGGTTTGGAATACAATGAGCAATAACTCTGGGGTTAACAATCCAAGTTGCCTACTTAGAAAGTTCATTATGGCGTTCATCTTTGCTGTCGTTCCCTTATAAATACCAAAAGTGTCCAGTGTGTTAGAAGAGTTTAGTCCTAGGCCCTTCTCTGCGGATACCATAGTGATTGCACGCCTGTTAAGAGTGTAGCTGGTTTTCATCTCCTCTGGTGTGCGAGGGTACATCACCTTGCACTTCCCCAGATTAAAGCTTAAACCGCTTGTGGCTGACCAGGACTCCGGCTGCAACAGGTCTTTTTTGAGTATCTTAGGATCCTCTTCGTTGCCTGTCGTCCTCCACATTTTGACGTCGTTGGCGAATAAAAGGATAGATGAAGAGATTTCAGTGGGGAGGTCGTTTATGAATAATAAAAACAGGAGTGGCCCGAGGAGAGCTTCTTAAGAAACTCCTGTTCCTGCATTCCTCTACGTTGGCTGAACTCTGTTTTCTTTACCGCAGAATTCTCTATCCCCCAGGTATGCCGTAAGCCATGCTAAGAGTAGTTTAGTGATACCCACTTTTGCTGGTCTGGCGAGCATAGCGCGGCGTGGGACGCCATCAAAACCTTTGGCTAAATCCAAGAGGATAACGTGGACTTGTTGTTTGTTCTCCCACCTAGTGGTGCAGTCATCCCAAGCGGTCACCAAGTTTGTGGCACATGACCGCCTGGTTCTGGAGCAATGCTGGGTGGGATAGACGATGTTGTTTCTGCCAAGGTAGTCACAAACAACAGCTACAACCATGCTTTCCAGTACCTTGGAAAGTATTGGTAGTAATGCTATTGGCCTGTAGTTACATGGGTTCTTCCAGTCTCCTCTCCTGAAGATCGGTGAGAGGATGGCGCGTTTCCATTCTTTGGGGAGCTGACTTACTTCCAGCAGGCGCGTGAACAGGTCGCATATGGGTACGCTTAGTACTTCGGCACATTTGCTTACGACAACCGGTTTTATGTCGTGGCAGCCCGGGGATTTCCCTATTCTCAGTGTCGAAAGTTTCACGAACACAGTTCGACAAAATCCTCATGTTCGTTAGCTTTGTATCGCAGTCCTGGGACCTCGTTACATTGCCAGATGTTGATAGTGGATGTGTTACTTTCGTGAGTTGCTTATCAAATCGACTGCTCAACAGTTCCGCTATCTCACTGCTGTTTAAGGGTACTCCGGCCGGCCGTGTGATCAGGTTTAGGCCCTTATTTGTTGGTTCGCGTCGCGACATAAGCCGATACAGACTCTTCGGATTGCAGCTTAAATGCTTAGCCAGGTTGCTTTGGTATGTATTTTTGTCATTACGAATTCGTATATTACACAAGTTTCGTAAAGTCTTGTAGCTATGAAGGTCTGATTCTTTGCGTGGTGTACGTTGCCGATACCACGCCTTCTTTTTCCTCTCTACTTGTCTTTGAGTTGAGCGAGTTACCTAAGACCGTTTGAGGGGTGGCCGTCTGGTTACTTTTGGAACACTCTTTTCGATAGCGCTGCAGATAATATTTTTAATCTGAATCCAGTGTTTGTCTATCGATGGTGAGTGCCATTCTTGTGGCCATGCAGCCTCCAGGAATTCGTTGTTCTTGAGGTGGTAGTCTGCTTTTCGGTAACGCAGAGCGCTTCTGGCTCAATCATTGATGGCATCTCTGTGGTTATCAGAGAAAATCTTACCAATGCATGATTGATTTTACCCAGGGGGGTTGGACGCAGATATCGTCCACCAAAAGATCATCGTCTGTTAGAACGTAGTCGAGTAGTGGTCCTTTTCCATCTGATCCCCATCTGATGTTCTCCGAACCATCTCCATCAGTCCTGCTGCCATGAACGTATTTCTAAGTTTGTGTTCGAAAGACTTACGCCCACATCTTACTTCGCACCCCAGGTTGAGTGTTGGTGCGTTGAAGTCTCCAGCGGGGACTACATGGTCGTGGGCTGCCGAGGTGGTTATTGAGATGACACTGAGCCTTATGCCCTGTCGTACAAAGGGGAGGCCTATATGCCACTCCGATTAAGTGCCTGGTTTGATTTATAGTGATGTAACACCATAGAGGGTCTGGTAGTAAGCTGAACACAACATCGGTTATTTCCTTGGCTTTTAGATGAGTGCTATTATATATAGCACCTCCCCCGCCCTCTTTGGACCTCCTGTCCTCCCGGAGAACCGCGATGTCAGTCAAACATATTTCCTTTTCCACTATGTCTTCCGGCAGACACGTCTCCGTGAGAAGAATTATATCTGCTTGCAAATTATTGTACATTGCTTTTGGCTCCAGTAGTTTACTCCTAAGATCTAAGTTTAAACGTCAAACTTCGTGTCACAGAATTAGTGAACCGCGGTTCCTTGGGTTCTACGTCTGTCTTACTGGAATACGTTCTGAGTTTGCAACGTTCACAATTATCTTCCCGGTTTTGAAAAGCCTGAAAGGGCAGAGATACGATTATCAAATTAATCTGGTCTCAAGTTAGTATTACTGCATCTGATCTGGGGAGAGCTTCTCGAGTACAGCCCATTGGTACTGTGGACTCGAGGCGTGAGTCTAGCCTCCTCTTAAAGGTATCAGGGGATGGGGCTGTAACAACTGCTGGAGGAACGGAATTCCACAATTTACAGGCTCTAACTGCAAATGGGTTAGCACGGATTTTTGTACGTGCTCTGTCATGCTCCGTTCTTAACGGATGACCCCTCAAGTCGCGTTTCCGACCAAAGCTTAGAAGGGATCTGTTGGGATGGAGGGGATTATGGGCGATGTGGTACATCATGATTAAATCCCCTCTGATCCTCCGGTGTTGTACTGGGTGCGGCTGGAGGGCAACTAAGCGGTCTGGGTACGGTTTGTGCCTAACCCAATCATTTTCTTTGCGGCTCTTCTCTGTGCCCGTTCTAGGATGGCTATATCCTTTTTCGGGTATGGGGACATTACAAGCGAATTTTTTTCTGAATGAGGACGAGTGTACAGAGTATACACTGTGGTGAAAAGAGAAGGAGTTAGACACCCTAAGGTTCGCGAGAGAAACCCCAGGATTCCATAAGCACTGTTGGCTGCGAGGTGACAGTGAACAGAGGCTCCTAGTATATCATTAAGTGTAACTCCCAGATCTTGTTCCATGTTAGAGTGACAGATATTTATTTCACCCAGAGATTAAGAACTGGGACTGCCTTTATGTTTGTCAACTATCATAATTCGACACCTCTCCGAGTTGAGAGGAAGCAGGTTTTCTATAGTCCAATTAAGGATTTTCGTAAGGTCCTCCTAGAAGATCGAAATATCCATTAGTTCCTCTATTTCCCTCCAAATCTTCAGATCATCGGTATATAATGGTGAATGGGAGTTAAGGGCCCCTGGTAGATCATTGATAAAAGCAAGAAACAGTAGTGGGCCCGTGTACACCCACGAACTGGAGTTTCTTACGGAGGATATCATGATTTACCCTGTCAAAGGCCTTAGAAAAGTCAAGTAAACCAATGTGTAGAGGCTTTTTCTTCTCGACAGGGAGTGTCCAGCTATTCCAAGCTATCAACAAGTCGGTGTTACATGACCTTCCTGATAGAAAGCCATGCTGACGGTTGTTTAGGATTGATTTTTGAAGTAAATGAGCACGAAGCGAGTCATTTATGACTCTCTCCATGACCTTCGTAACTGAAGAGATCAGGAAGATTGGTCTGTAGTAGGAGGCTAGCAGTTTGTTTTCACCTTTATAAATTGGGACGACAGCCATCCGTTTCCAATCAAAGGGTGGCCCGCCTTTCAGAACCGAGCATTTGAAGAGGTTTGCTAGTGGGGCACACAGAACTTCAGCACATTCTTTTAGTGCTCTTGGGTGAATCTCATCGATTCCTAGAGACTTATTCGGGTTCAGTTTCTTTGACATTTCCATAATTACAGGGGGTTTAAACCCTACATGATTTACTCCCTCTATGATACGGGTGTCCGACAGAGGCGGGGTTTAGCCTCCAAAATGACAGTTGTTTTGGAATTCATGAGCTGGTAGGTTCGCAACTTCGGAGTTGGAACAGAGAATCTCCAAACTAATGGGGTCAAGTAGACTTAGTGAAC